CAGAAACCCTATATAGGGTTGCTATGGATCAGAACTGACTCTACAGCACTTAACAACAACAACATACTTCAGACATATTATTAGGAGGGACTGATCCCGGGTGATGAACATCATGCTTGGTAAAGTGAAGGGTCAGCGAAATAAAGGAAGACCCCAACAGGAGGGATTGGCACAGTGGTAGTAGCAATGGGCTCAATGTAACAGGAATGTGAGGATGGCGCAGGTCCAGACAATGTTTTGTTCTGTTGTGCATAGGGTCATTATGAGTCAGAACTGAATTGTTTAAACAGTAGTTTAATTTTAAGCCTTTCCTAAGAACTTTGACTTTTAAGTGAATGAATACTCTAAACAATCCTAAAGTATTCTAAATAGCTACATTAGGATCTTCTAAGAAAGCAAAGATGTTTATTATTTTTGACTTTCCTCTTTGATTTGTTGAGTTATATCCTCATACTTTTGAGCTGATCTCTTTTTCACCGCAGTGATTTGATTCACTGCTTAGTGTGTGATCCTCCACTTATGCTTTGGTTTTAGCCAAGAGTCTGTTTTAGCAGTTGTTATCTTGATGTCCTTTGGTAATTCTCCATGTGTCTCAAAAATGTATCAGAATCATACTTGACAGAGGATTGGTAAAAAGTATGGTTGATAGATTTTTTAATGACATTGAGTCAAAATATGTTAATACTCCATGTAAGAGATAGTTAATGGAAGTACAAAGAAAAAGGAATTTGAAAATATTCCAATTATCAAGAAGCCAATTTCCAGAAACCAAGTCTGACCTCAAATACAGATTTTTAGAAAAAATGCCTATAATTATTACTATTACCATTTTTGCTACCAGTTTCTCTGTAGGCTGTAATACTCTTTCTCAGCCCTGAAACCACCAGAGTATTTCCTAGCTTTTCAAAGGTCTGGTTTGCACTCTAAGATTGGAGGTGCAATCCAGATGGCAGCTGGGGCATACCTTTGCTTAGAGGTACACAATGAGCAACTAAGTTGCAGCGGCAGATGATGTGGAATAATGAAACATCTGTAAAAAATTAATTCCACTTTGAATCTTTTTAGTTATCTTCCAAACAAGATGTTAGAGGAATGAAAACAGAGCACCCTACTATAGGAACTACTAACCAAGGACAAGCACAAACAAATCTTACAGTGAAGCAAGATAATGTAACGATTAAAGGCCTTCAGGCAAATGTTAGCATACCAAAGGTAACAATTTAATTTTCTTTTACTTTAAAAGGAAAACTAGTTTGGTGGGTTTATCCTCTGCATTTTCTAAACTGAATTATGGTAGAATCGTTTGTAATACTAAAAATTTGTTTTGTTTTCCCTAGATGATCTAATGTTAAACAGAACATTTAGTAATTATATTTAGCATAATGTTCCATAGTAATTTAGTAAGCATCTTAATTATGATTATTTTATGAGAATCTATATAAACTTTGTCTTCACTGCTTTCAGACACATAGGTATATTTCTAATAGTGAGTTTTTTCACGTCATTTTCATATATCTTATGTAAAAGTGTTAACCTTTTGCATTTTCAGCCCTTACATTTGTGACATTCATATTATGTGTTATTTCGCCTCTGACATTTGTGACATTTTTTCTGTTAGGTAAATTTATGTTTGTTACAAGCTTCAGTGGAAGAATCTCCAACTACAGCTCCTAGTAGAAATGTGACTCATGTTTCCCTAGTAGCATTGTGCTTTGATAGAATTGCTACACAACTTCGTATGAATAGGTAAGAAACATTACTTTCTGTCATGGTTATCTTGCTGGCTGAAAAAGCAAATCTTGAGTATTTTCTTAATATATTTCTGTAAATTAATGTTAGAACTTAGTAGTGGTATTGGAATTTTAAATCTCACTTTATAGACTAGTAGATCAGGTTTCAGCGGTTCCATGGGAGAAAGATGAGGCGGTCTGCTCCCGTAAAGATTTACAGCTTGGAAACCCTGTGTAGAGTCACTATGAGTCGGAACCGACTCAACGGTACTTAACAACAACAACAACAACAAATGTTGTTTTTATTCTTAATATTTTTCTTTAACATTGAAAAAATTGTTACTAATGTTGATTTATTGGCAATAGATACATTTTCTTCATGAAAAGTAAACCAGTTTATCAGTTAGTGTTTTCATTAAGTTATGTGAATGTTATACATCATATTCTTTTTCATCTTTCATAAAGAGGTGTGGTTGAAGAGACTTCAAACAATGCAGAACCTGGTAGAACACCAAATTTTGATAGGTATGTCCATGCCACTAAGATGCAGCCTCAGTCATCTGGCTCTCTGAGATCAAATGCTGGAGCAGAAAAAGGCAAAGAAATTGCAGCCAAGTTAAATATTCATCGAGTTCATGGACAACTTAGGGGTCTTGATACAACAGGTAGGATTCTATAAAAGATATGTTCTTCTTTGACATGGAAAATTTATGAAGATTTTGCGAAGAAAAGATTGTTTTCCTTTGAATATTGCCACATTTGAATATTTTTTAAGAAAAATAAATGTATTTCTCTCTATATTGAACATGTTATTTACCTCCTTATTTACTCATATTTTACACAAAATAGAAGGTACATTTTGGTAAGAAAGAAAATGATATGGCCCATATTAGGAATTTCTTCTGTCTCTCAGCTGTTTTTTCATTCTTTTCTTTTTTTAAAAGTTATATTTGTTTATTCATTATAAGACCAACACTCTACAGGGTTACTATGAGTCAGGATCAATTCAACAGTACTTAGCAACAATAGAGAAAACATGATCTTGATAATCTTTCTTATTGCAAAAACTGGCACTAGCCATCCCTCCCACAGCTCTCACTGTTCAACTGGGTTCAGTAATTCTTTTCAGTGTTCACGTAGAATTCAGATGTCGTGCTCACAGTTGCAGGGTTTATGAGGAAAGTTAACAGGTTACAGTGCAGGATCAGAAAATGCTCAGGATATAGTTGTTCCAGTAAGGACAGGTCTTCACAGACATGCCCATAAGCAGACCTTTCTCTCTGCCTGACCAATGTTATAAAACTCTTTTAGGGTTGCTAATAAATGCCCACAGGACATATCACTCCACCATAATCCTCAGTCTGAAGATTGTGAATCTGTAAACATAACTCCCCCAGTTAAGGGCCTGGAGGCACCCCACTCTGCAAGCTTTACCTTCTCTGGTAAATGAATTGTTGTTAAGTGCCCTAGAGTGGATTCCAACTCATAGGAACCCTATGTAATTTCTGAGGAGCAGCTGGTGAGTTTGAACCTCTGGCCTTGCAGTTCAAACTGACCTTTTGGTCCAGTGCTTATCCTACAGCACCACACCAGGACTCATTTCCTTAAAATTACGCTCATGCTCGGGTTGTTGATTCTGCTGCTGCTGATCCTTTGCCACTCCTCTAATGTCACAGCTTTCTGCCACTGGGTCAAGAATGTTCAGTGTGCTGAGATCTGTAGTTCCAAAGGGTGTGCTCCGCTCCTGCCTCTTCTTCTTCCACAGCAGTGTGATAGTCTCACTCCTGTGTTTCTGAGATGGCTCATTTTATACCCATGGTAGACTTTCAAGTTTTTACAATTATATTTACCTCTGTTAACATCCACAGCTGAATCATAACATGCTGTCAGTATCTTCTCCCACCTTCTTACCCACACCCATCAAGAAAAGAGTTGTTTGGTGGGAGTTAGAAAGACTAAGACTAGAAGAGACATGTTAAAAATAAGCACTGCTCCATAATTACTATTTTGTTATTTTTAAAACATTATTAAAGAGAATTAATTGTAATATTAATCTAAGCCAGTCAAGTCTTTAAAATACAGAATCAGCAATTAAAGTGATTAGTAAAGACATTCCTCTCCAAGTCATTGGTGAAGTAAAAGAAGAGACTCTTTCAATATTTTTTACTCTATTTGTTGTTCTCACTTAGAAACTTGAATGAACTCAGTCAGAGATCCAATTCAGAAAAAATTAAGTTTGTTAGTCCTATTTAAGATGATTGGCTTACTAGAATCTATGTGTACAACAGGTGACTCAGTGCTTGTTGTGTAACACGTGCCCCATTAGTTGCTGAATTAATGGCTCACTTAAATCTGCTCATTGAGTTTTACAATTTGGAGGTTTTATATCTTTGGGTCTGTGCAACTGCAGTGACTTTCTCAAGGCTTATTTCACCATCTTTGTGTTTGAAGCCAAAATATCTGACTTGAGGATTCCAAGTGAAGACTTTCATGACTTCTTCAGACCTACCTTTAGCCCTATACCAAACTAATGAACCCTTGTCCTCTGTCTCATAGCAACCCTGTAGGGCAGAGGAGAATAACTGCAAGAGTTTCTGAGGCTATAAATCTGAACAGAAGCAGACTCTCATTTTCCTCCTGCGGAACAGCTGGTGGACTTGATTTGCCAGTGTATTGGTTAGCAGCCTAAAGCTTAATTTACTGTACCACGAGGGCTCTAAAGTTTGTGCAAAAATACAATGACTTGAGTATAAAAAGAATTTTCTCAGCTCTGCAATTTTCACCAGTAATCAGTGTGCATTTAGATGTTATGCTGACCATAAGCAGTACCTTGTGTGTATAATAATGAAAGTCACTTCATTAAGAAACAACTCTCTTCAAAGATAAACTCATTGTAATTCCAAGGTACACATTTGTGTAAAAAGGGAGAAAAAAGCAAGAAATAGAAATGCCTTTGCTTGTATATATGGAAGACATCTATCTGTGAAAGTTGTTGTTGTTGTCAGGTGCCATCGAGTCAGAACCGACTCATAGTGACCCCATGCACAGCAGAACAAAACAATGTCCGATCCTGGGCCAACCTCACTACCGCTGCCACACTTGAGTCCATCAATGATGCCACTTGGCTGAT